TCGCGGCAGCCGGACGGCAGAACCTGCCCGGCCTGGACGTTCTGCCTTTAATGCAGAAGAGCGGGGCTGGCGGTGAGCCTGGCTCTAAGGTCTTTTATGATAGTAAAAGTGCTCACAGCGGTATGAGGGAAAAGAGGCAACAAGAAGCAGTTCTGTCCATTACTGTGATATATTCTAAAGGTAGAAGCTGTAGGCCTGGAGCAACAGACGTTCTTCTTTTGAGTGTCTCTGTGGGTGTGCATACATAGCAGTTATCGACTACTAGGTTTTTTTAATTACACTATATGGACTTACAACAGGTAATTAAATGTCTCTTATGATACATGTATGTCTACTTTGCCAAGTGCGGTGAGCTCTTGTAGTGCTTCTTCTACTTACCCTGGGAATCCAGTACCTGGTGAAACATCTTTAAAGCGGTATGATTTTAGGTTTTATAGTTCCGTGGAGGCGGCAAAAGGGTGATCTGAGTTCTCAGCAGCCTTTCCCTCAACTGGTTTGTAAAGTAACTCTGTTGACTGAATTTCTATAATGGCCTTTTTGCATTACCTTTAATTTTTAGTGACCCACAAGATTAGAAGTAAGCTAACATGTTCTAGCATGCACCTATTCTGTGATTAAGAACCATGGCATAAAGTGTGTTTATTTTCCTGAGCTAAATATTTCCAAAGAGAGAAGCAGCATTTTGAGCAAGGCGCACTAATGTTATTAACAGAGAAAGCAGGCACAGTTGTGGAATGCGTCCATTTAGTGATCTCTCCACCTACCCTACCCCCTTTGCTCGAAAAGATAAAACAGATCATAGAATCATAGAACAGTTTGGGTTGGAAAGGGACCTGAAAAATCACCTAGTTCCAGACCCGCCCTGCGATAGGCAGAGACACTAGACCAGGTTGTTCAAATGGGAGTTTTTATCTTAAAAATTCTCTTTGTGACCTGTTCTTGCTATTAAAACTACAGCTCTTTACAATGCGTTCCTGTGTTTGTGATCAAAGTTGTAACAGACACAATCTGGTTGGCATGGCCCTGTGCTAACTGTGTGGTGCTTGGGTTGGGGAAAGCAGCTTCTTGAGAAGAAGTTGGTTTTGGTAAATGACTGGAACACTTACCAGAATTAGTGTCCTAGACTAAGCAGTTCTAAAGGTAAACTTAGTTATTCACAGACCACTTCAGAAAACCAAGTTTGACATTATCTGCAGAAGTAGAGTAATTATAACTTTTGGCACCCCTCAACTTCACTAAGGTCAATGGGGTGATTACTGCTTAGGCATCTAAATCCATATTTAGCTGTGTATGGCTGTCAAGTTCAAATGTTTGTTTGTGTTTCAGAACTGTGTTTGGAATTAATTCTAAAATATTGTGGAGACTAAAGCTAGTACATGTGTTAACTGCCAAAATACTTATGCCTTTAATAATGAAGTTTTGCATTGACATAATCTAATAGTTAAGCTTAGGATCTATATATTAATAAGAAATTTTAAAAAATTAAAATGGGTAGAAAATAAGGCCTGCTGGCCTCGAGCAGTATTTGATCTTTCAGGTTTTTTGTCTACATTCAGCCTGCAGTATAGATGTTCACATAGTGATGTTTGATATAAGAGGCTGTTAATCTTATCTTCAAAATCTGATGGCTGAAATAATATATGCATGTATTTTCTGTAGAAACTCTAATTGTTTCCAAACAATAAGCAGGTGGCAACTGGCTGGCATGAAGGACTGTATGCCTCTTAAAGAGAGGCAGAAAAAACAGCCTGAGGGAAAGCATTGAAGGTATGTCTACACAGTTGTGACTGAGTGCAGAGTTATGAATTCATCCGTGGCATGCCTGGCAAGGTACAAATTTAATATGCGTTTTAGTTATGTTAACTACTAGTTCATCCATACTGTTAAAGACTTGTACAGCATCTGGCAGAGAAGGTAGAACTTAACTTCAAAAGCGGTAGTAGGTTTTGAATTTTTCTTTTTTACCTGTGAAGGGCCATATGACCATTTCTAATCCATTTCAAGAGCAGGTGAAATTTTGCTGCTAAAACAGTGGTATGAGGTAGTACATGCACACTTTGGTTTGGGTTTGAAAGCAGTGCTGCATAATGACAGTTGTAGAGGTGGTGTGTGTGAGCAGATGCAAAGTTTATATTATATGTGTTTGTCTCAATTTCTTCATTGTACTGCAACATTTTTTGGTTTAGACTACAAGTTGTATCTTTCTTAATGCAATTTAATTTGGTCCATTGCAAGGACAGAAGTATGTACTTTTGCATGTTTATTTATGCCTTTTTTTCCTTAGAGCAAACTTAATGATGTTGCACCTGCAGGATAAACATTATCATAGACCTGATGAAAACTTAGGTATTTCTGAGGTGGAGTGAGTGAGAGATGGAGGTGCAAGAAATGGTAGCCTAGACTTTTTGAGTCTGTGTGCCCAAAGTCAGCTTTCTTTAACCTTGTTTGTTTCCCACAGTTCAAACTCTGTTCCTACAAAGTGCATCCTCTGATCTTCTCTGTCTTGCATGTGGCTTCCTCTTTCTCAGGCTGAGGCTTTCTTTTCTGTTTCTCAGGCTGAGCCTTTCTTTTCTCTGTGAACTATTTATAAGCTCTTACCATACGATGTTTGTCTGGTTTTCTGTGTTTCTTTCTAACACTGTGAGAAGAAGTTCAGTGGAATTCACTTCCTAGCTTCAGCAACCACTTGAAGGCATCAGCTTCCCCAAGGTACTGAATGAGTTCATCAGTTGTAATGACCTTCCATTGCTTTGGGACTGTAAAGCATAGCTTGCAAAGTATTGGAGTGTTTCCACAGGATAGCAGGTTGGTTTGCAAGTTTACATACAGACAGATGTCTCATTTTGTCCTCAAGAATTCAACACAATTTCATTGTAAATACCTCTAAGTTTGGATGACCTGTACCATTTTCTACTTTGACAGTTAACAGAAAGGCTAGTAAGGTGCTTCAATGAGTAAGCAAGGATGTAGCAGTAAAGTAGCGGCAGACAGCAGTGAGTGCATTGTGGGAGTGGGATTGGTTTGGGTATGAAATCAGCATTTGAAAAAAGAACCCCCACCAAACATCATGAAAATTTGTGGTACTTGCATCTCCAAAAATGATCTGAGGGTGAGAGGAAATGCCTTGTTTTGAAAAACCTTAAGTTTGTTCTGCTTAAGGAAAGGCATTAAAAGCTGTGGAGGTGTGACTTGATTTTTTTTCAGTGAAAAGCATAGAATAGCAACCAAGGGCTGGAAGTGGAACTCTTGACACATCAGAAGTAGACATGCTTCTCATGCTCAGGTGGCTATTAATGTGTGCTAAATTCCCGATTTTCCCACCTAGTCTGAGATGGGGTATTTTGACGGATGTAAACTTCAGTCGGGTAAGAGTTGTTTGGCTCAATATGAGTGAAAATGAGTGACATTTTACTGTCCTCTGGTATGCAGAATGGTCAGCTTAGTGGGTAAGTCCCACTGCTTCTTTTTGACATACTATAGAACTCCTTGTCTCGGCAGTTTCTGTTGAGGAGCAGGCATTGGCCTTCATGAGATAGCAGCAGAGAGTGGTCTGTTACTTGCTCCATGGTGTTCCTCCTGCAGAGAGGGTTTCAGGAAGCAAGGTAAAAGGATTCAACTTGGCCAGATGGACAAATAGACACCTGTCAGTGTCTTGAGTTGGAGCTGGAGGATAACTGTCTCTGAGCAAACTGATCGTAGATAGTTTTGGTCTCTAAAAATGTTGCACTAACAGCACCTCTCTCATGTAAACCCACATGCTTGTGAGGGATTAGAAATGTAAATTTAAGTCTTCTGATTCAGAAATAATCTTTACTGCAAACAGAGCTTAGTTTTACTACCATCATGCTTATGATGACATACTGCCATATTTTTTGAAAAGAATAACCTCTGTTTTTACTTTTACTCGATTTAGCAGTTATGTTTTGGGCTTTTTATACAAAATAACCACTTTTTTTTTTTTTTCCTGTGAGTTTTACATTTACAAAAGCATTTGCTTTTCATCCTGAAGCTGAAGGAATTGGTAGAACTTCACAGATATGTATGTACATCCAGCTGAAGGACTTAACATCCCAAAATATATGCTTTTTGAGTTAAGCTCGGAGCTGTCATCTTAAAGCAACATCTGTCAGACTGTATTAGACCCTTAGACTTAGGCACTGAATATAAAACAAAAGAAAATTATACTAAGCAACATTTCTTAAAAATCTACATATTTATAAAAAATGAAAATTTTTTAGACAGTTATTTGTCTTGAAGCTCATTTAGTATCTGTAGGCAGATTACTAATAAAGTTGTTTATCACTTTTCTCTTTTGCCTCTTACGTGAATTGTGCATTTTTCTGTTTTATGGAGGCTTATTATAAAATCGTTACTGTTTGTGTCACTCTTAATTTTAGCTGTTTCTAACAACAACAACAATTTTGCTTTAAAGGCTAAAAGATAGCTAGTGTTTCCCATCGCTTTTAGAATCAGGTCATTAAAATATTATTTTTTGCAGTATTTCTCCAAGAGAAGTTACATAATCAGAGCAATTATATTACACTTGAAAAAAATACAACTGTTAAATAAAAAAGGAACAGTTTATACATAGAAAGCTGTAATGTTGATAAATTTCTGTGAATGTAAGCAGTTCTGGTAATGGAAGTTATGTTTCAGTGGAGTGTTTGCACAGAACCTATTAATAATTAATAGTATTGACTAATTTGCGTATGCCTAAATTGTGTGTGTGGAAGACTGGCCTTTGGGTTCATGTCCTTAAGTGACATAGAGTACCACAAAGAGTGAAAAAAGAACAAACTGATCATCATGGATAAAATAATGAACTCATGATTTGTGTTAAGAGAATTTGTTAACAGAGTGCTTCTACGTAGAAAACCTTGATCAGGTGCAAATAGATGTATTTGATGCTGTAAACCAGTGTTTTAATGAGTTGTCAGAGTGCCACCTTTTTTACTTCTGAATTACCAATAAGGACTAATTATCGATGAAGGCAAGGCATAATGCTACATGGAAAGTTTACTTGCTCCAGATGGAGTAGAAATTTGTTTTAGATGCCTGCTTTCTGGTTTGTGTTGCATAACACAGAAGAAAAAATTGGGATTCTTTAGGTTTAATATATGCCCTCAAGAAAACTGTGGAGTCTGTATTTTCCTTCATAATTATGTGCACTTGCAGAAGTGGGACAGCTCATGGCATACATGACTTGCAAGTGTGAAATTTTTGCTGGGTTTGTGATCAGATGAACAAGAATTGCCTGAATATTAATAATAGTAATTTTCTTCTAGATTCATGCACATATCATCCAGGTGTGCCAGTCTTTCATGATGCTCTCAAAGTAAGTATGCAACTAGATTTTTAAGTCTTATCTTTTTTTCCATATAACTGTTTCCATGAAACAGTATGCTTGTTTTCCTTTCCAATTCCAAATCTTTCAGTTGTAGAAACTGATGTCCAGCCTATCATGTTTGAGCAACCCCATGAAATTAGAAAAGCACACTTACTCAAACCTGAAGAAGAAATTAAAAACTGTACTCATATGGTCTAGGTGCCATGCAAGTCCTTATGACACATATTTCCTGTTGATTGACTTTGGGTATCTCAACAGTTTAATTAGGTCTTCTGAATAGGTCTTTGGAGGCATTGAGGTGTCATAGTCTTTCAGTTAATTACCCTGCTTGGAATTCAAACCAGCTGCTTGTCATCGTATGTGGCTAGTGAACTAATGCATGTGACATTTGCCTACTATAAAAAATAATTGTGTTCTGTTACTCTGACAGACGAGTATGTTGATTAAGTTGGGACTGGTTGCCCTTGCCTCTGATGCAGCTGTTCAGGATTCTTGGGCTACATCTTCAGTAGTGAATTAAATATACCAATGACTGGTCTTCAGTGCTTAGGCCAACTGCATAGCCCGTATTCACTATATTAAACTGTTTTCCTACTGCAGGATCTGCTGGATGCATCCAAAGTGCCTACAGAGAATTATTTGAGGCACAACTGCCAATACAGTACTGGAGGTCATTCTAACAATTTAATTGTGGACGGTCAGAAATCTGCTGTCCAGAAATGGAGTCTGGCACTTGTTTACTGTAGTAATACAGGTGTAGCATAAGTGAGCTTTCTTAGGAGACCAAACTGCTATTTAACCAAGCTTTGGGGCAAGCATTTTTCTTGGTACTTGGGAACTGCTTCTACTGGCAGAACATCTCATCCCTGTCCCATAACGTTGTGTCTTCTGGGCTCATGGAAGCTTGTGCCTATGCGCTGGGCATCATGTTTTCTGTGAGCTATCGCTCATATTGCAGTGCGTGACTCCAGAGTTGGCCACCGTGTACCACTGGCAAATTGGGATAGGTGCTATTAATATGATACAGTTGCTTAGACCATGTCAGTTTGTTTTGTATAAAATTATAGTTGTACTCATAATTTTCTGTCGACCATTGTGTTGCCCTGCTTAAGCTCTCAAAGCAGTGGTGCATTTATTAGTCAAACTGTTGCTTTTAATAAGGTTTGTCGAGTTCTAAGATACATTATTCACAGTGGCAAGATAATTTTCTCTAAAATTGGGATTCTGGTTTATATATTAAAAAGGCTCTTGATTACTGTAGTTGATTGGCTATGCAGTGCAGATACTCAGCTTTGTGGCGGGAAATAAGCATCTGAAATACTTGACTAGAGCTCAAGGAAAGAAAAAATCCTCATCATTTTAGATAGGGGGCCTGTACATTCTGCCACAGGTGAGCCTAGTCTCAGGTATAATATTTGTTTTGCTTATATGTTACTTCATGAAATAAAGTAACATTTCTGTTTTCTGTCGTACAGAGTTGGCACCTAACTAGTCGTGGAAATATTGCCTCATGTTTACTGAACTTTCTGATTAAGGCAGCATGAGTGAACTAGAAATGGCAGCTGTAACAGGTTTCTCTGACTTTTAAAAGTGCAAATGATGAGAATATTGTCCAAAGAAGGGAAGAAAATAATCTGTAATCATGATGTGCCACATTTGTAAAGGAATATAATTAGTCTTTAGCTTTTTATAAGTTGTTGCCAAGTAAGGTAGTTATGCTTGTTTTGTTTTTGTTCCAAAATGTTTATAGGGTTGGTCATGTTGTAAGAGAAGAACAACAGACTTTTCCGACTTCTTAAGCATTGTGGTATGTACTCATGATTATTTAAAATTTTTATACTTGTCAAATGACAGTGATAAATATTAAATGGTACATGTGTTTTCATGTTTAAAATTTGCATACTTTTCTTAAAACTGTCTTAAATCTTGCACGCACTATTTTTCTTGATATAATGTTCAAGCTTTAATGGTTATAATTAGTTCTATCAAAACCTATTTAGATGCTTGTTAAAAATGAAGGAAGGTCAATATTTCTTGTTACTTTGCTTGATTACGAAAAGTATGCATTTTTCTTTAACGTTTGTCCAACTGAAGATAATTTCCACTTTAGTTGTAGGATTTCCTTTGCAGCTGGTGTTTAGAATGGACTAAAGGAGAAGATGGGGCTGAAGAAATAAATCAAGAAAACTTGTTACTGTTTTTGATCATTTTTAATTGTGCACACAAACTACACTGCATATATATAAACATATGCTTTCTGTAATAGGGCTGTACTAAGGGTCTCCATAACAGCGAGAAACCTCCTGAGCCTGTTAAACCAGAAGTCAAAACTACTTCTGAACGAAAGGAGCTAGCTGAACTGAAGCCTAGATTTCAAGAACACATAATTCAGGCACCTAAACCATTGGAAACAATTAAAAGGCCGAGGTACAGTATACAAAACTAAATTTTGCCAAATTTGTGGTCAGTTAGTCAAGTTAAAGCTCATTTGCTTATTCAGTGTTACACATCTCATATAGTGTAAAAATTCCCAAATGAACTTTAAAAGAGCCTGTATTTGGTAGCAGTGATGGTGCTATCTTAAGCTTCAAAATGAGATAAAAGAATTCTGCTTAGGACAAGGTAGTACTGTAGCTTAGACTGCCACTAGCAGTTGTGTTTAGTGTTTTCAACAGTCATAAAAAATAATTTTAGTGTGCTTGTATTTAGATTCCTTAATCTCTCTGATTTATTTTTGTTGTTGTAGAGTACTTAGGATTTCCTGTTGAAATCCAAGATTGCCTTCTAAATTTCTAGTCTGATTTTTCACAAAGAGTAAGAATTGGCATTTACAAATCTAGTTTGTTTTTTTGTTGTTGTAAGGGGGATTGGAAAAGAAGAGCCTTCTAGCAAGATTAGAAGTTACTACTCTGTTCTTTTTTGTAATTTGTTTTTCATTAAGCTGACATGAATACATGGACTATTTTTTAGCCCAGATGAGCCAATGACAAATTTGCAGCTGAAAGTGTCAGCTTCCTTGAAGCAAGCGCTAGATAAACTGAAACTGTCATCAGAAAACGAAGAGAAAAAAGGTAAGGATATAGGGAGGCTAAGTAGATATATGACGCTAATTGTCACACAAATAAATGAAATGCTATTTTTGTTGTTGTTTCTGAAGTAATTATTTCATGTAATTATGTTCTTGTTCTTAATCTGGGAAATACCTTCCAGTCTAGGGAATGATAATCAAACTTTATATGTTAACAATGTGGAGACTTGGGTGTTAGGAGAAGTGTCTTCCCATCAAAATTATTTGAACTGCCTGTTTGGTAACATTTCCTGGTAAAATGGACATGATTGGAACATCCATTTCTGAATATATGTCTGAAAGAGTTTCCTAAGAAATTAATGCTACTGTCCTATGTTACTGCAAACACGATGTCATATAAAGCCTTTCATAAACTGGTGAAATTCCTCTGAAGATTAATTGGTTCTCCCTCGTCTGTTGGTCCTCTTTTTTTCTTCCTCTTTTTTTTCTTCCCACAGTTTATCTGGAATTTGTTTCCAGAGCGACAGTGCTCCTTAAGAAACACTTTCTAATTTCACTCGATATTTGTGGCTATTTTATACTCTCCTGTTATTGTGCCAGAACTGTCACTCAGCTCTTCTTTCTACTTGGTATCCAAATTCTTTCCTTGTATGTATTTATAGACAGTAGTTGGAGCCTTTTACATTCATACTTTTACAAAACCAAACAAGATGAATGATTGTAATAATCCTCTTCATCAATTTTTTTTTTTTGCCCCACTTAAAACAACATAGAGGTATAGAACCTAGAAGCTGATGCATAGATAACAAAGCTTTTGGAATGTTTGCATAATTTCTCTTTCTTTGTACCTATCTGGCAGACTTCAGTGCCAGGAAGAAAATAGACAGCTTCAGAGTTGTTTGGGTTTTTTTTCCTAATCTACTCCTTAGCACATTTTAATTGTCAATAAAAGCAAAATGTGTAGTACATTGTATAATTGAGTTCCTATTTTCTATAATATGATTCTGTTTACAGAGGAAGACAGTGATGAAATCAAGATTGGGACAGCATGTAAAAATGCAGGCTGTTCAAAAGTAAGTGGTTCAGTTCCACCACCCAGATGCCAAACTATTAAGTGTGCAGTTTTGTTTTCCTTTCTTGGGTGTGTTTTTTATGTGCTACAAATTGATTTGAAAGTGACACAAAGTCCATGAGGCTTAACGAATCCACATTTGATAACACATTTCAGTATGGAAAAAGTGGGCTGTTTTGTACTGTGGATGCAATTAAGTCTAAGATTACTTTTTTTAAGCCTGTCCTGAACTTCTAATTAGTAAGCTTTGCCAAACCTGTGATACTGATGTGTTTCAAGTTAAAATGTTGAAATGGTGAGAGGTGGCTTCTTGATAACACTTGAATTGCTCTTGATAATCTGTATATAGGTCAGAAGCATCTGCAGATCTTATCAATTAATGCTTCCTGCCAGAAGCATTACGAAATGCTTTCTTTCTTACCACAAAGAAAATATTTTAACACTTTTACCACCAAAATTAATTTTTATAATACGTGGTCATTTAAACTGAAAGTTTTTTTACACTGACACCCTTGTGTTGTACAGAACGGGACAGTAGAATTAAAACAGGTGTATCACTGGACGTCTGACATTTTGCATTTTCTACTGAAACTCTGGTGGGAGGAGAACTTACAGCAGTCTCTTGTTGTGTTAGGAAGAACTGATATGGTATTTGGTGGCAGAGTTGTATATTGTTTAATTTACTTCCTTTTGAGAATCTATGTGTTTTATGAATGAAAACTTTTAATTTATTTTCCAGTTAAGTACTTATTTTCTCTGAATATTCAGAGTATTTTTAAAGATAAATATCTCTGAGGATCTAAAGTGATCTTTATGAACATAGATGATGTCACCATTGATGTACTCCGTAGAACTAATACAAAGTATAGCTTATTAGAAGGAATGCCAGGGAGCCTTTTGTGAATGAATGGTTATTTTAAAAAGCTAAGGCAAGCCACTAGATTTAGATTATTTACTCAAAAGCTTTGTAGTACTTTGTTCAGTGTTTTTATTGTGGGTTCTGTTTTGTTTTGTTTTTTCCTTTGGTCCACATCCTCTAACAGTAATACACTTTAAATGCTTTGTTTTGCTAGACCTACGAAGGACCACACAGCACAGAAGAAGTATGTATATACCATTCTGGTGTACCTATATTCCATGAAGGGTTAGTACTCAGTTAACTTTAATTTTTTTAATTAGTCTATTTTGTGTTCCTGCTTTCTTTGTAGATGCTGCCTTGTTTTCATTCTGTATTTCTTCCTCAGTCAAAAATGGCAATGCTTGAAGAGGGCATACCAAATTAACAGTAATATTGCATAAAGGAAAAATTTTAAATACTTGCGGTAAATAGTGTCCCAAATATTGTTGTTAATTACTTTGTGAACTTTCAAGGATGAAGTATTGGAGCTGTTGTAAAAGAAAAACATCCGACTTCAATACATTTTTAGCTCAAGAAGGCTGCACAACAGGAACACACGTATGGACTAAAAAGGACGCAGTAAGTAGCATTAATATTGCATTCTGTAGCTGGCCATTCTGAATTTTGAATACTGAAATGTAGTCAGTAGCCTGATGGAGCTGTTGTTGTAGTCGAGCTGTTACAGATCACTACCTCTGAAATAATACGGAGGATATTATGCACAGAATGACAACAGAGAAATGGGTTTTGAAATAATCTGGTAGAAGTATACTTATAATAGAGTACAACCTGTCTTTTTATTGATACATATAGTATAAATAGCAGTCTTTTCTGCTTTGTTAGTTAAGAAGGTCTGTGGTATTCCATATAGAATATATTCTATATATATATTCCTTTATAATAAGATTATTAAAAGTCTGTCCACCCCCAAAGACCATGAAGAGAGCAACATCCAGTTGGCGGCCGGTCACAAGCGGTGTTCCCCAGGGCTCAGTTCTGGGGCTGGTCTTGTTCAATATCTTTATTGATGACCTGGATGAGGGGATCGAGTGCTCCTTCAGTACGTTTGCAGACGACACCAAGTTGGGTGGGAGTGTTCATCTGCTGGAGGGTAGGAGGGCTCTGCAGAGGGATCTAGACAGGCTGGATCGATGGGCTGAGATCAACTGTATGAGGTTCAACAAGGCCAAGTGCCAAGCCGGGTCCTGCACTGGGGTCACAACAACCCCACACAACGCTACAGGCTTGGGGAGGAGTGGCTGGAGAGTTGCCCGGCGGGAAGGGACCTGGGGGTGCTGGTTGAGAGCCGGCAGTGTGCCCAGGTGGCCAAGACGGCCAACAACGTCCTGGCCTGTATCAGCAATAGTGTGGCCAGGAGGAGCAGGGCAGTGATTGTGCCCCTGTACTCGGCACTGGTGAGGCCACATGTCAAATCCTGTGTTCAGTTTTGGGCCCCTCACTACAAGAAGGACGTTGAGGTGCTTGAGCATGCCCACAGACAGGCAACGAAGCTGGTGAGGGGTCTGGAGCACAAGTCTTATGAGGAGCGGCTGAGGGAACTGGGGTTGTTCAGTCTGGAGAAGAGGAGTCTGAGGGGAGACCTTATCGCTCTCTACAACTACCTGAAAGGGGGTTGTGGCGAATTGGACATTGGTCTCTTCTCCCAGGTAACTAGTGATAGGATGAGAGGAAATGGCCTCAAGTTGCACCAGGGGAGGTTTAGATTGGATATTAGGAAAAATTTCTGTACGGAGAGAGTGCTCAAACATTGGAACAGGCTGCCCAGGGAGGTGATGGAGTCACCATCTCTGGAAGTGTTCAAAAAACACATGGACGTGGTGCTTCAGGATATGGTTTAGTGGGCATGGTGGTGTTTGGTTGATGGTTGGACTTGATGATCTTGATGCTCTTTTCCAACCTTAATGATTCTGTATTTCACTGTGATGTTGGGAACAAACTGCAGAACTACAAGGTGAATTTTTTTTCCATTCTAGGCTTAAAAAGATTCTTAAGCAATATTGTAGAACATAATAATGGAACTGAACACTTAATTAAAAAACATTAGCTGGTCACATGTTGGATGCAGGTGAACACAAAATTCTTGTTGCATATATATTGTCTATTGCTGAGGCAAAATGGGTCTGATAGAGGGTGCAAAGATCAGGAACATTTAATAGAAGAAAATTTAGTTACAGGAAGTGTAGTTCTGTTACCTCATTCTATAACAACTGCTTCACAAGTTCTATAAGTCGTGGAATTGCTGCTTGCTTTGAAGCTTTATGTTTGTGTTTATAAAGTATTTTCAAATACAGAAAGGACAGGTTAAAAAAAAAAAGCTGAAGTTGTGAGCCTAAAGTCGGAGAGTGGTGTTGTAAAGAATTTACCCAGATGTTGAGAAACTATGTGTGTATTAAATGTGTGTATATTGAGATAATGGGCTTCTAGCTAACAGGGGTTTTTTGGCTTTACCTTTTTGTAGTTATTTTGGTTTTTTCCACCATTTATTTTTCCTGCATTGGAGAACAGAGGGTAATATTCAGTGATTTTTGTCAGTAATACAGAAGTTTCTTGGAGTCATTGTTTGGTTTCTTTCTGTTACTTGCTGGATAACTGTAGTCTTGGAAAGGAAGTTAATCCAACAAGTAACATTTTTTTTTCAGTTGGTTGGGGTTTTTTTAGTGTTTTGTTTGTTGGGGGTTTTTTTTCTGTCACAATGTCCTGGTTTCTTACTGTAGTCTCTGTTATAAGCACTGTTTTTCTCACATCTAATGGTCGTTAGGGGCCAGTAGCTGAAATAATTAGTAAAAATAGATGTAAGTGGAGTCTTGCAATCTCCTGTGAACATGAAATATAGTCCTTTATTAGCGATGCTTATTGGCTATTAAAATAGTCCTGGGCTTTTATCCTGACTAATCTTGTAAAAGTACTACTGAATGCAATTTTAAGTCTTTTTTTTTGGTAACTTTTTCTTATATAGGGATTTTTTTTTGGAAAGAAAGTAGTTCCATGCAGGCATGATTGGCACCAGACCGGAGGAGAAGTGACTATTTCTGTATATGCTAAAAACTCTGTTCCTGATCTGAGCTATGTAGAAGCAAATAGCACAATGGTGTGTATCTACCTTAAGATGTAATTCTTTTTTTAATTCTTATAACAGATTGAAGTCAGGAAAATCTGGCTTCTGCTTTATTTACAAGGCAGGGGTAGCCTAAGACTCTTTTTTGAGTAATGGCATTTTCTTGGCTTTTGTGTTTGCTCAAGCATGTATAGCATTTTTTTCTTTTATTTGGACATTTGGACTTTACTGTTTGTGTTTTTGTTATTTTGCAGCTTTAAAAAAAAAAAAACTATGTCAAAAAAATCTTTCATTTCACTTCTACAATTAAAACCCGAGTGTGATGGATTTGCATCACCATATGTGTAAATAATTATAGATTCATCATTTCATTGTATTTGGTTTAATGTAATGTAATACCGTTGTTCACGATATGCAGTTTTACACCTACTAATATTAAACAAGTGTTAAAATACTTCTCTGATTTCTTAATAACGTATTTGGAGAAAATGATACAGTTTCCTGGATGTATATATGGCCACTCTTGACTATGATACCGTATCAGAATCTGTTAGGATAGATTTTCACTTCTATGTCTTAAGGACAGTTTGATCACTTTGCTCATGGTAGGATCTGAGTCATAATGTGATATATTTTGCTTAAACATACTTGACATGTCAATGTTTTATTAGCCTGACAAAATGTTCTTTTTTTTTTTCCTGTTAAGTTAAATATCCATATTGTATTTGAAGGAGAAAAGGAATTTCATCGCAGTGTGAAGCTATGGGGAGTAAGTATAAGAATAATTTTTCTACTATAAAAAAAGAAAAACACCCCACAAAAAAAAACACAAACCCCCAGCTTCCTCTCTTTGAAAACAGTTTGTTTTTCCTCATTACTTTTCTTATTGAAAGAAATTCAGTTGCATGTCATTCAGTAATCTATGTTTAAGTTGACTCTAATGCCCCAAATGATCGTGTATGACATCATAGTTGATGCTGCTTTGAGCAGAAGGTGACCTCCTGAGGTCCCTTCTGTCCCTATTTGTCCTAAGATCCCACCACCATCGTAGTGCTGTTGCAGAAAACCCTTGACACAATGTAATTACATGCTTACGTATGTGTTAGACCAAAGTATATGTTACATGTGCATAGGCCTATGTTCATAGCTTGGGAATGGGAGAGGGTTGGCTTTTTCTAGGTAACAGAGGGAACTCCATCTGCCTAAACACCTGCTGAAATTCAGTGATCAGGTACTCTTCCTAACTTAATCCACAAATACCTAGCAGTCTTATTTCTTAAATTGAACTATAAAATATGTTTTCTGTTCTAGGTAATTGATGTAAAGAGGAGTTATGTGAACATGACAGCTACAAAGATTGAGCTTACTATGAGAAAAGCAGAACCCCTATTATGGGCAAGTCTTGAATTACCAATATCCAACGCACAACAAAAAAAAGAGAATTCAGATCAATAATGATTCCAAGAGACAAGTTATTTCCCATTATGAAGTGGTGACTTGCTACTGTAATCAAATATTTAACTTTTATATAGATTCATTTTTTATGCTAGATCATATGTTCCATTCTACAAAGAAATTTGATGCACAGTAAATGGGGATGTAAACTTGAAGGGTAATAGCTATTTCTGCTCTTGCTCCCATGAGTATATTTATTCTAGTTGGAGTGTCTCCGTGGGGGTTTAGAGTAAAAAAGCTATTGCCCTTGGCTTACAACCTTATGTACCACGCACTGATTATCCAAATAGATGTGTTCTCAGTCCACTGTTTGTGTTAATTTTTCAAGTTTTTAGACTGGACCTACTGGGTAGCACATGTTAAACTCAGTAATACAGATACAAAAATCTGAGTTTATGAAGTTATTAACACGCAATTCTGCATCTAGAATAAAAAATTCTTAAACATAAATATGAAAGAGCACTTGTAGACTTGCATTTTTGTCTTCTGAAACTAAGGTTTGTTTCAATACCTGTTGGCTGTGGAGGGATGGAATAAAAAGTATTTTGCTAAGGATTTCAGTACTTGCTGACTCTTTTGCTGTCTTCCATGTATAAAAGCAGGAGATCAGATTAAAATAAAAACAAAGTTGGCGGGGGGGGTATTGTGTCTTTGGTATTTGGATTGTTAAATATAAAAGTGAATGGACAGTGAAATGGCTGAATAACACAGCATCTCAGCTGTGGAGAATATACAAACAGCAGACTACTGTAAAATTACCAAGATGCTGTATATATTTGACAGTCTAGAATGTATATTCTGTCCTATTCTACAACACTCAAAATTATGGGTCTTTTTTCAGAGTAGGTGGGTATGTGTAGTAGAAGACAGTACATACTGTAGGTGTCTCAGGAAAATTATTTCCATGTAGATATGCATAGCTCTTCTTTCTGAGGATGAGGAATTTATCTACAGGACAAATCTTAGGAGAAACAAACAACAACCTTTGAAATGTCTGTCTCAAACCATAATTGTACCTCTGAATTAACATATTTTTAAAATATTATTTATTTTGAACAGCATAAGCAAAACGCTGTAATTAGAAATCAAGACCTTAATTTTGTTTTCAGTTCTCCATCAGTAAAGATTTGTGGCTGAGAACATGATAGTTTTAAAGATGAGACACTTATCCAAGCAGCAATACATGCAGTAATGCTGCTTTCTCTTTCTGCTTCCAATAGTTTCTTAATTTTGGTTGCAGATGAAAGAAAAACGTTTTCCTATATAAGTCATGCAAAATGTACACCATTATTTATTGTGCCAAAGCTTGTATATGAAAACAAGGAGTCCTGTGCACTGTTGAAATGTGTGGATGCTCATCTGCCTACCTTGGCAGACCAGGAATAATGCCAGGAGAAACACAGAACACGTAGTAAAGGCATTTTGAACTTAAATGTGGATTTTTAAGAGTCTTACTGTTTTCTAATAGATATAATTTGACTTGAGCTCAGAGTTCTGTCTCTATGAGTACTTGCAATCCTACTTCATGCTTAGAGTAGTAGGAAATACATTACCAAAGAAACCATCCCCAAACACCAAGAAAGTAACACCAGTGATGTACATATAAAATTTGTTTTGGTGCTGCTTTGCCTTCATTTCAAGATCCTGTTTCCTCGTTCACTTGAGGGAGCGTGCTTGCTTACTCCCTTGGGCCCCTATTAACAGTTCCAGCTCCAAGTTCTGCCTAAAAGATTCTATTAACTTCTAGTAATGCCACCTTGTTTGTTTGTTTGTTTGTTTTTTTAATAAATTTGAAAATGTTAAGTGCTATGAAGTCATAGGGTACAAGCTTACAAAAATGTATGCTTGCAGTTGGTTGTCTAAAAATTGAACAGATGTTCCCTGATGTGTTCTGAACCAACAAGTGGAGCTCTTACTAGTATAATACTGACTAGTATAATACTGAGAACGATCACTTCAGTGCAGATAGCTGTAGCTATTAGTGTGCCATCTGTGTTTTTGTGTGCAGAACTCTGAACTGGGACAGCAAAATGAGCAGTGTTTAATGCCAGGGTGAAGTTCTTACTTAACAAGCAAGTTCAAACATGCATCTATGGATATATAAATACCCTAAATATCTTATGTTTTCTACTTTTTTTTTTTTACATCTTTTCAATTTATTTTCATCCTCACATAGAGTAGGTTTATATTGTGTAAAATCCATTTTAAAGAACTACAAGGGAAATGGAATTTCTCGGGCAAACAGAATTTCTGTTTTTAAGCAAGTCATCTGCTCCCTTAGTATACTAAAGGCTAAATGGAGAGAAATGTGCTGCCCAGGGTTCAGACATGGCCACGCCATAAGCTGCTTGTTACGCTCGACATTCTGCTGGTAGCTGAGTCAACTTGGCCAGAAGTGGAAGAAAGCTCCTGTAAACGTTGTCTTCAATTTTGCTTTTGCTTTTTATTCATTCCTCCTACTCTTCCTGTTGTTCATGATTTCAGCAGAAAATTAAAGATACTTTGGGAGTTCCGTAAGGACTTTTCCCCATCAGTGACTATAAAACCACTTTTAAAATTTACCTTTTTAAAAAAACAAGCAAGCAATAGCAAGCAAGCAAGCAAACTAACAGCTCAGCTTTGATCAGGCAAGAAGGTACAGGTTTTACAAATAGCAGCCTGGTTTTCTATGACCCATGGTGTTTTTCAAAATAAAAGGGTAAACTTTCAGATGCCAGAGACTGCCATAAGTCTCTGGTTTACCTGCATAAATTCTTAGCAGCCGTTTATAACCATACGTGTGCATCCATCATCAACCTGCAAAAGCTGTGTCACTTGGGGACTGGGAGTGTTTTGAGCAGTTGCGCAAACACCGCGGTGTTTGATCCTGGTATTCGATGAAATGGCATCTTGGCAGGGATAGTGGTGGGTGACGCCTTAGTGGGATATTGGTTTGGCTGTAACTTATATTGGTAAACATGGAGAGAAGGTGAAACCAACGGTTAGTGTACCAAACCAATCACAATACCGTCCCAAAAGCAAGATTTGAAAAATCAGTGAGGCTTTTACCAGTCTATAATAGTTAAATTAAATAATAAAGCACAGACAAGTATGTACTGGAATACTTGCAGTTAAATTTACCACTTTTTTCATGTTTTCAGAGTCATGCTGTATTTAGCAAGTTTGTTAACTTGCTACAGTCTAGCTATATTTTTATAATTAATGAGGCTTGAAAGCTGTAGTGTGGGTTTACGTTACACATGTAGACAGCGTCTTGCATCTCTCCGAAGGGACTGCCCAAGTGCACATGAAACTTTTCCTTCACAATCCCTTTTTAATATGAACTATTGTGTAGGTATACAAATCTGTGACAGCAGTCTTAATCTTTTCCCTCATGTATAAGCCCATTTTCTTACCTAGCATTACATATTATATCTGTAAAAACATTTCTTGGAGGAGCTGGAATTTATTTTTAAGGTTAGGATACTGTTAAGCACTGGGCTGCTCAGCTACTCTGACTCAGGTTTTACGTGGCACTGATGTAAGCTGACAAAACAATCTTCAATTGGATGATCTTCTGGAACATGTACATTATCAAGTCACCATTTCAGTGGTTTAGGGACTAGTTTTACTAGGAATTTTGCCTTGAAAAAAATCTACTTACTCTACGTAACGATGCATTTTTTGCTTGCACTCTTTAAATATGGCATGAGTATTGGATAAATACTGTACCTGTTAATCATTGGTTTTTCCCTACTGCTACTAAAATTTTTTAATCTCCGTTCAGGAACGAGATTATTTTTAAAGCCATGAGTCATGTGTCTGGAACACTGTTTTAAGGTGGTAATAGTTTTGCCATTCTAAGAGTCTTGAATTACAGTTGAAGCGGGGAGATGTCTTTTTGCATGGTTGTTTGACTCTGCACATTCATAAAACTTATATGCAGAAATTAATCTCATGTCTTCATGCTCTAGTTTTTTTCTGAATGTATTCAATAAAATTCTTACTACATTCTGGTTGCATTTGGGGGTTTTTGGCTGCTTTTGTTACGGGAGAGAGCTTGCCTTTGGATTTGCGACGCGGTTGTCGAAATAAAATCTTAAGTGGTCATTTTCCACAGGCCAGTCTATGTATGAGGGAAACTGTGGCAAAGAGTTTACCTTTCACCCCGGGTTTCTTTTGTTGCCTGTTTTCTCTTCTACCACAACAGCCCAGTCAAGCTACGTTAAGTTTTGCAGAAGTTTGGCTAAGTGTGGCTGTTCAGATGGGGGCCTGGCTCAGTCATGGAAATTGTTCTGTCCAAGAATTTTGAGCTGTCACAAACTTACTGGAAGTGGAATAATTCCAAATAAAAAGTTTGGGCTGTTTCTAAGAATGCTGAAGATACTATAGCTCTGATGCTTTTTTTTTCCTATTTTCTTGGGGTCTTGGAAGAAGGAAGAAGATACTTGTCAAAACCTCTGGCATTCCCAGAGGAGTGAAAAAGGACTCACTGCTTGGGGCCTGAAATTTTCTGTGGTGATAAAAACTTCGTGTTTTCTCAAAATCAGGGTAGGTGTTCTCACCAAAGATAATCAAGATACTGTCACAGACATTACAAACTAATCCACAGTTGTTGTGCCAAACGAGGGTTAGTCAAGCAGACTCCTTTTTGCTGAGTTTGTCTGCAAAATGAAGGGCAGGTGTTGAGGAGGTAGGATGTTAGCGGTAAGGAGGATGGGCGGGCAGGGAGTACGGTCCCGAAGACTCCTCTAGGCAGCACAGATTTCCACCCGTGTTCATAAAGCCAACCTTCGTCTGTTCAGCTTCTGAACGTTCTGTTTTCCTGACACAATGTCAGCATGAACAGGAGCGAAGAACTACTGTACGTGACCACTGTCCACCACGCGTTTGCAGTCAGTCCGGGGAGCCTGGAGGAAAGGGGCTGTAGGAAGAGGTACCTGAAATCCGGAGGTACATGGAACGCGTCAATGTGGTTTTCTTTAGCTTAATTGATCAACCGATAGGATGACTGATTCCGG